TTTTTTTTTTAAAGATTTTATTTATTTATTTGAGAGAGAGGGACACAGCGAGAGAGGGAATACAAGCAGGGGGAGTGGGAGAAGGAGAAGCAGGCTTCCCGTGGAGCAGGGAGCCCGATGCGGGGCTCGATCCCAGGACCCTGGGATCATGACCCGAGCCGAAGGCAGATGCTTAACGACTGAGCCACCTAGGCGCCCCTGGGACCAGTGACTGTTAATGACATCTGTAGTAACTTTGTGTAGTTTGTTCATGTTTATAAAAGTATCAGGTTAGGGCGCCTGGGTGGCTCAGTCTGTTGAGCGTCTGCCTTTGGCTCATGTCGTGGTCCCAGGGTCCTGGGATCGAATTCCGCGTCAGGCTCTCTGCTCAGCGGGGAGCCTGTTTCTCCCTCTCCCTCTGTCTGCCACTCTCCCTGCTTGTGCGCTCTCTGTCAAATAAATAAAAATAAAAATAAATCTTTATAAAAATATCAGTTCAGAGTGCCCAAGTATAATAACTTCTCCATACACTGTGGTAAGAGACAGTACTTTAAAAAGCATGGGGGGAAGAAAGCAAAAATAAAAGCATGGGGCAAGCCCTCAAGAAGCTTATAGTTAACATAATGTGGTTTATTGTGGTTAATGTATCAGACGTTTTTCTGGTACTTTGTTATGCAGAGGGTTGTGTAGGGCTCACACTCTACAGTTAGACCCAAATTCAGATCCAGGGCTGCCACTTGGTAGCTATGAGATCTCAACCTCTTTAAGTTTCTCAAGGAATAGTAATATTACCATAGGATGGTAGTAAGGATAAAATATAGAAATGCACGTAAAGAAGTCACTAGAATGCTGGCACAGAGTAAGAACTCACCGTTAGCTGTTTTAGATTTTTTTATTGTCCTGTGATTTTCTTTTTTAATTGTAGGAGTAGGGATAATAATGTTTTTCTTAAGTTCATTAAACAATTACTAAATGGCTACTATGTGCTGATCACTTTTAGGGAAATGAAAGTAGTTGAAAATATATAACTCATAGCTCAAAAGAACTTAGGGCTTTTGAATAAAAATTAAAAATAAGCAAATACTTATATTGGATTACTAAGTTCCAGGAGTTCTTCAGTTTTTATAACTATGTGCTCTAAGGTAGTTACTGTTGATTTCATCATTTTGCAGATAAGGGAACTTAAGTAGGGAGAAGATACGTGATTTGCTCAAGATCTTTCAGCCAGTGAGGGATGGAACCAGCTCTCACAAGTAAGCTGTTGGATTCTGAGACCACAGTCTTTCATCAGTGCACTGTCCTGCCTACAGAAACAAGACTGGCACATGGGAAAGAGTCAGGGCCTGTGTAAGTGTCAGTGTAATGGGTCCAGATTATAAGAGGTGTAAGAGTTAGGAGAGGAATCAGTAAAGGCTGGAATGTTCAGGGAGTGCAGTTTCCCTCATCCTTGCCAACCCCTGTTGTTCCCTGTGTTGTTAATTTTAGCCATCCTGACAGGTGTGAGATGGTATCTCATTGTGGTTTTGATTTGTATTTCCTTGATGATGAGTGATGTTGAGCATCTTTTCATGTACCTGTTAGCCATCTGGATGTCTTCTTTGGAAAAATGTCTTCATGTCTTCTGCCCATTTCTTAACTGGGTTATTTGTTTTCTGGGTGTTGAGTTTGGTAAGTTCTTAGTAGATCTTGGATACTAACCCTTTATCAATATGTCATTTGCAAATATCTTCTCCCATTCTTTAACTGCCTTTTAGTTTTGTTGTTTCCTTCACTGTGCAGAAGCTTTTTATCTTGATGAAGTCCTAATAGTTTTTTTGCTTTTGTTTCCCTTGCCTGTGGTGATGTGTCTAATAAGAAGTTGCTACAGCCAAGGTCAGAGAGGTTGCCGCCTGTGTTCTCCTCTAGGATTTTGATGGTTTCCTGTCTCACACTAAAGTCTTTCATCCATTTTGAATTTATTTTTGTGTATGGTTTAAAAAAGTGGACCAGTTTCGGGGCACTTGGGTGGCTCAGTTGGTTAAGTATCTGCCTTCGGCTTAGCCCATGATCTCAGGGTCCTGGGATCCAGCGCTGTATTGGGCTCCCTGCCTAGCAGGGTGTCTGCTTCTCCCTCTTCCTCTGCTCTTTCCCTTTGCTCTCTCCCTCTGCTCTTTCCCTCTGATCCTCTCCCTGCCTGAGCTCGCTCTCCAGCTTTCTTTTGACATCCATTGACATGATAGGTTGTGCTCCATCTCCTCATTTTCAATTTGCAGGTGTCTTTAAATCTAAAATGAGTCTCTTGTAGGCAGCATGTAGATAGATCTGTTTTTTTTATCTATTAAGATCCCATTGTTAAGTAATCTCTACACCAAATGTGGGGTTTGAACTCAACCCCACGATCAACAGTCACATTCTCCATTAACTGAGCCAGCCAGGCGCCCCACCAACAGACCATTATTATACCTCACAAATGTAACAGTATTTCCTTAAAATCATCTAATTCATATTTAAATTTCCCAGTTTGTTTTATTTATTTTTTAAAAAGATTATTTATTTATTTGACAGAGACAAAGCGAGAGAAGGAACACAAGCAGGGGGAGTGGGAGAGGACCCTGTGATCATGACCCAAGTCAAGGCAGATGATTAACGACTGAGCCACCCAGGCACCCCTCCCAGTTTGTTTTAAAGATAGGTTTTTATAGCTGATTTGATGAAATAATGTTGGATAAGGCTGTTCCACTCCCAGCACAGAACTGAGGCAGGGCTTGATCTTAGAACTGTGAGATCATGACCTGGTCCGAATCAAGAGTACTACGCTTAACCAACTAAGTCACCCAGGTGACCCTCCTGAGTGTTTGTTAACAGTCCTTGCACCATTCTCTTTTTTTCTCTTCTTGTTGTTGATTAGCTTGTTTTGTTGTCGTTGATTACTTTTTTTATTGATTCACTGGGGACTTGACTGATGCTTTTGAAGTCTTTAATTCCTTTCGCTACTTTCCTATTTCTTGTAAACTGAGAAGTTAGATCTAGAGTCTTGATTAAATTCAGGTTTTTTGTTTTTTAAAATAAACCATATTCTACAGGTTGTGGTTAGTACTTCTGTTTGCATTACAGGAGGAGGCATATGTCTGGATTATTCACAGGATTTAGATAGTGTCAACCTGATAATGTTCATTATAAAGTTCCTCATCATCCTTTCACTTTATTTTGTAAACTTTTTAGCATCCATTAATTATGCATTCTTGCCTAGATTCATTGTTTCATTAGAGGTTGCACAATGGTGGTTTTCTAATTTTATCATTCTTTTTGTGTTTATGAACTAAAATTGTCTAAAAATCAAGAAAAAAAACCTTACCCTCATCATTCATTTGGTTACCCTGCAATATTTGGTATAAGCTGGTCAAAACATGTTTGATTTACTTCCCCATTCTTTATCAATTTTCAAAATAGTAAGTTGGTCTTAGCAATCTGCAGTGGTGATCAGTAAACGATGTATTTGTTTCCTTTTATTATTCAGTCACTCATTTGTATATATTTGATGTTTCAATCCATGGATGTCATGAGTATTTCTGATGCTCAGAAATGCTTCAAGTTGACTTTTGTCTCTTTTGATGTGATACTTTCATTCTTTCAGTAAATGGGATTTAAATCTTGGCTTAATTAACTTGAGTGCCCATGTTCTTCCCACTGTTATTGTTATGCTTTCTTGAAGGAAGCTCTCAAGGAAGTCTTCAAGGCGCAGTTGAGGGGTACATTTGTTGGAATAGGGGTTTGATTCCAGGAGTGTCAACATTTGTATGAACATAGTTCTAACAGCAGGTTGATAGCCTTTGTGGTACAAAGGCCTAGGCAATACTGTAATAGGACAAGTAAAGGAAATCAGGCCAGAAACATAGCACAAAGGCCCTTGCGAGCTGGGTTGAGGGATTTGGTGTTTTTAATTCTCAGGTGGTGGGTCATGAGACTATAAGTTCAAGACATTTTGTACATGAGAATGATAATTTTTTTTTTTTTAAAGATTTTATTTATTTGACAGAGAGAGAGATAGCAAGAGAGGGAACACAAGCAGGGGGAGTGGGAGATGGAGAAGCAGGCTTCCCACTGAGCAGGGAGCCCGATGCCGGGCTCGATCCCAGGACCCCGGGATCATGACCTGAACTGAAGGCAGATGCTTAACGACTGAGCCACCCAGGTGCCCGAGATTGATAAATTAAAAAAAAAAAAAAAGAGTGCACATCTGGAGGGGGGAGGGGTTAGAGGGAGAGGGAGAGAAGCTCAAGCAGACTCCTCACTGAGCATGGAGCCCGACACAGGGCCTGATTGGATGACCCCAAGATCATGATCTGAGCCGAAATCAAGAGTTGGATAGATGCTCAACCAACTGAGCCACCCAGGCGCCCAGATAGAAAATTATATTTGAAAGAAGGCCCTCTTGACTGCTGTTTTCATTAGAGTTTGCAGAGAAGAACTCAGCCAAAGAAGCCAATATTATTTTTTTTATTATTTAAGTAAAATCTGGAGACAGTCACCTGTTGAGTGGTTAACTGAATTTCTTAGAAACCTCTAATCTTTAAATCTTTCATTTTTCTTTTTCTTTTCTTTTTTTAAAGATTTTATTTATTTATTCATGAGAGACAGAGAGAGAGAGGCAGAGGGAGAAGCAGGCTCCCAAGGAGCAGAGAGCCCGATGCAGGACTCGATCCCAGGACCCTGGGATCATGACCTGAGCCGAAGGCAGACGCTTAACCATCTGAGCCACCCAGGCGCCCCAAATCTTTCATTTTTCACATGTGATACACTTTCGTTGAATTTGAGTTAGTGCGGTGTGTGTATTTATATATATATATATATAAAATACATGTAATGATAACCAAAAGTGTTTTTAAGTAATTTATTTCTGGTGGCTTAATCTTTAATTAGCCACCTTATTATTGGCTATATTGAAATCCAAAGACTAATTATGGATTGGTGGGCTTTATCATATTTTAGTATAAGATTTGGCTAATTTTCTGTTTCACTAAGTTTTACTTAATAATTTCTAGGGCCCCATGGTTATGAATGTGCTTCGGTTTCATAATGCCTCCTGCTATGGCAGACATCCTTGACATCTGGGCAGTGGATTCACAGTTAGCATCTGATGGCTCCATACCTGTGGATTTCCTTTTGCCCACTGGGATTTATATTCAGTTGGAGGTTCCTCGGGAAGCTACCATTTCCTATATTAAACAGGTATGTTAATAGGTGGAATTTTTATAAATGTAGCTTACTGTATCACTTAGGGGAAGATGTTATTCTATTATAGAAAATTTTATTAATGTAAATCATATGGTCAATCTGAGGGAAAATGAACCTTTAGGTCCTCCCTACATTTTAAAGATTTGATATATGCTTTGTCTTTTGTAGATGTATAAAAGGTAATTCTCACTCTCACTTTTTTTTTCTCACTCTCACTTTTAATCCATATGTGATACCTGAATTAAGAAAAATTATGTTAGTGTGAAATGTTTATTCAGGTGGTTTAAAGGAATTTGACATTGTCAAAGTTTAGAGTTTAAATCTTTTTAAATACTATCTTTGAACTTGTCATACTTTTTCTGTATGTGATTTTTGGTTGGTTTTTTCTTCTCTCCTTTTCCTTCCTCTTCTTCCCTCCATACCCCCACTACTTTTCATGGTGATTATGTGGAAGAAAAAGTTTTCCCCCAGTAGTGAATAACATGCCCTCCTTTGGAAGCAAATTCTTTTTTCTTTTTTTCTTTTTAAGTTTTAATTTAAATTCTAGTTAGTTAATGTACAGTGTAATATTAGTTTCAGGTGTACCATATAGTGATGCAACAGTTGCATACAATACCCTGTGCTCATCACTACAAGTGCACTCTGTACTCCTTAATCCCCATCACCTATTTCACCCATCACCCCCAACCATCTCCCTTCTAGTAACCATCAGTTTGGAAGCAACTACTTTTACATAACAAGGCTTGCTTCTTTTGTTGGATTATTTTTTCACATGAATTGGCGAGTGGTATTGATTTGTGAGTACTATGAAATGTAAATGAAATTATTTTGCTAAACTTTCTCTTTAATGTTTTCCAAATAGCTGAACCCAATATGAAAATCAGGGGCTATGATATTTTTAAGAAAAAGTATTTATGACAAGCCATTTTAAAGTTCTTGACTTTGGACAGCCTCTTAACTCTTTTCCAAGCTTCTTCTTTCAGGAGACATGAGAATTCTAAAACTGCATGATCCCTGAAGTAGAAAAAAAAAAAAAGGAAAATTATTTTAGGTATCCCAAGGTTCAGAGAGTACTTATTTTTATAGTCACCAGTGACAAGTATGGATGTCTGTGGCTGCACCTGAAGCTGGATTAACCATTCATGCCCTCCATTCTTTTAATTGTAAAACATACATAACGTGAAGTTTACCATAAGAATAATTTTTTAGGTGCATAATTCTGTGGTATTAAATACATTCACAGTATTGCCCAACCATCAGCCCTATACAGAAACACAAACTCTCTTCTCATTAAATAATAAACTTTCTTTTCCAAGTCCCTGTGGTAGTCCCTATTCTAGTTTCTGTCTCTAGGAATTTGTCTATTCCAGCTACCTTATAAAAATGGAATCACACAATAGTTGTCCTTTTGTGTCTGACTTATTTTACCTACCATAATATTTTCAAAGGTCATCCATATTGTAATATGAATCCAAATTTCATTCCTTTTTAAGACTTAGTAATATTCCATTGTTAGGATATGCTGCATTTTGTTTATCTGTTCATCTCTTGATAGGTGTTTTTGTTGTGTCAGTCTTTTGGCCGTTGTGAATAATGTTACTATGAACATTGGTGTACAGGTATCTGTTTGAGTCCCTGCTTTCAATTTTTTTGGGTATATGTCTGCTTCTTCTGACAGGGCAGTGTTAATTAATGAAGATAACCTTGGTGAATAGAAAAGAATGCAGGAAAAATAATATAAATTTTGTAAAGGGGTAATGGTACATACTTGGAATTTTCTATTTTTTTCTAATTAGAAGTTATTTATGTTCATAAGGTAAATATGGACATCTTCATAGATACTTTTAAAAAAATTGAAGTAGAGTTGACATACAATATTATATTACTTTCAGGTGTACAAACTAGTGATTCAACATTTATATACATTATGAAATGTTCATCATGATATGTATAGTTACCGTCTGTCACTATACAAAGTTATTCCAATATTATTGACTGTATTCTTTCTGCTGTACTTTTCATCTCTATGATTTATTTATTTTATAACTGGTATTTTGACCTCTTAATCCCCTTCACCTGTTTCACCTTTCCCCCATCCTCCTCTCCTCTGGCAACCATTAGTTTATTCTTTGTATTTATTAGTTTCTGTTTTTGTTTGTTTCGTTTTTTAGATTCTACATATAAGTGAAATCATATGGTATTTGTCTTTCTCTGACTTTTTTACTTAACATAAGGCTAGGGTTTTTTTTTTTTTTTTTTTATTTGTAAATTTTTATTTATTTATTTGACAGAGAGAGACACAGCGAGAGAGGGAACACAAGCAGTGGGTTGTTTGGAAACATGCCTGTTGTTTATCTTCTCTACAGCACTTATCACCATCTATTACAGGGATTTTTTTTTTTTTTTTGTATTTGTAAATGGCATTGTTTTCATTTCTCTGTTAGTGTATAGAAACAATAGGTTTTTGTGTATTAATTTTGTATTCTGCAACTTTATGGAATTTATTTATTCTAATTTTTTTTGTGGAATCTTTAGGGTTTTTTATATACAGTATCATGTCTTCTGCAAATAGTGACAATTTTACTTCTTCCTTAACAATTTGGACGCTTTTTCTTTTTTTCTTTTTTTTTTATTATTATTATTATTTTTAAAGATTTTATTTATTTATTC